CTGCCTGAAGAAATCAGCAATTGTAGCTTATCTGAATCTGACTCCCCCGTTAGGCCTCGAAAGTGAGCTGACTATTAAATTTCTTCTGGGACATGTAAACTAAGGAAAAGCTTTGTCTACCGCAACCACCACCCCCACCCCCAGAGAACTTCTGTGCAGGCTTTCAGAACTGCCGGCTGACCAACATCTTATCAGGACCATGGTCTATCTGAAAGAGCTTCATGGGCAAATCTCACCGTCTTGACATCAAATTCATATGTAATGAGTTTATAAATATGCTGCTGGTAGTTTTTGACGTCTCAGATCATGTCCTGATAGGACAAGATGTGAAGAGATCTTTTTTTGTAATATCACTATCCATCTTCATAACCTTTTCCCTTTTTCTTTCTATCTAAAAGTATTCTGATAAAGAATAAGAGGCCGCGCTCCTGTAGCAGCAGCAACGTGCGCTCTGTTCATCTTTCGGACGACTGTACGAACATAATCTCACTGGTTTCTGTACAATGATATCAAAGTTTATTCTGATTCTGATTTTACTCATTTGATTTTAGATATAAAAGATCTGTGTGGGTAGTTTGTATTTCAAATAACTTGTGTTTTTCTCTTTTTAACTTACATTCATTTCTATTAATGACTCTTTCTGAGTAGACAATAAAAGAAGACTGTTAAAAACTTGGACGTTATCAGGTTCTGTTCTTATTTCGCCTCACCTCTGATAAGGCCAACGGTGAGCCCAGTCGTCAGGGTCAGGACCAGCACAGTGAAACGCAGAGTCCACATGATGAAGCTCAGAGGAGACCAGGCTGTGGAGCCAGAGGACGTCACAGTTCAGCAGGTCTCCTGTCTTTTGTTTTGTAATAATTGTCTTCTAAACAGGACAGGACAGTAAATGAGGTCAGGCATGTTGGTGAACTCCTTCAACATCATGTCGGATCACCAGACGTGTGCAGGAGCAAGTAAATCTGTTGTTCACCTCAAAGCTCATTAACAAGGCTTCATCTCCTGACTCAGGTCAAAACAAAGGTCGAATGTGTATCTGCATGCCTCTGGTATGTGGTGGAGTGAAAAAGAACGTGTTCATTTTACAAAGAGACGCTAGAACAGCACAGATGTGTTGGTCTCTAGTATTCTTTGTGTTATTGTCATGTTTCCAACTAAGTGGTCTTAACTTGTATCACAGGAACCTTTCTGAGTCTCAAGACTACCAAGGCACTCTGGAGCAAACTGCTGCTCAGAGTCAAAACGTTTGGTCTGAGCCGCAGCTCATGGCTCCACCAACAGAATACTGACCTGAACCACCCAAGAACCGCTCAGAACCAAACAGTGGACTGTTCTGACGTGTCCTCCTGCTCCCTGATCTAAATCCTGCTGAACATCTGTGGAAGGAACAGAAACATCTGGAGAAGGAACCTTCAAACGTGAGACAGCTGGAGCAGTTTCATCACGTGGACCAGAACGCCTGTGGACAGGACCAGAACACCTGCGGACAGGCGGACCAGAACTCCTGTTGACAGGACCAGAACATCTGTGGACAAGTGGACCAGAACTCCTGTTGACAAAGGGACCAGAACACCTGTGGACAGGCGGACCAGAACACCGGTTGACAGGACCAGAACACCTGAGGACAGGCAGACGGAACACCTGTTGACAGGCGGACCAGAACACCTGAGGACAGGTGGACCAGAACTCCTGTGGACAGCCAGACCAGAACACCTGTTGACAGGAGGACCAGAACACCTGTCCACAGGTGGACCGGAACACCTGTGGACAGGCGGACCAGAACTCCAGTGGACAGGCGTTCTGGTCCACCTGTCCACAGGAGGACCAGAACACCTGTCCACTGGAGGACCAGAACACCTGTGGACAGGTGCAGAAGTCTCAGAGAACTACAGAAATCTTCAGACTGCAGATTCAAACATCTGTGAATCAAATTATTACGTTAAAAGGAACCGTTCTTTTAGTCGAGGTCCGTCTCAGATAAAACATTCCTGTTGAACCTAAATCTAAAAACAATGACTCGTTTTTAACAAGTTGATTTTTATTTATTTTATTGTTTTTTTTTAATCATTTTCAGGTTATTTCCATTATTTTCTTTAACAAAAAGGTCTAAATAAATAATCATCTGTAAAACAAGCAAGGCTCAACAGTAAACAGTTTCAATCAAATTACTGTTAATTACAGCAAAGAAGTCTAAACCAGATTAACAAGTTAGGATTAAAAAACATCTTTAACACAGAATATCCTCCTCTGGTCCCACAACGAGACGTTTATGTGAATAAAATAAAAAAACAGGAAACTGCAGGTGGATTTTTACAAACGTGTTCCAGGTTTTTATCAAACATTTCAAAACAGAAACTCTTCACTTATTAACAATCACACAACTATGAAATAAAACCTACAATTAATAAATAAAATCTATAAACTGAACAGGAACATGATGAATTTAAGGACAAAAGTTTGTCCCTGTGAAAAAACTTTTATTTTGAAAAACAAGTTTTACAGAACTATGGCAAGACAAAAAAAAAAAAAACTTTTTCTGTAAAAAGAAACCTGTGACATCGTACAAATGGCACAGTTTTCTATTTTGAACAAACGTAGATTAATTTGTTGTTGAAAAATATGAAATCAATAATTTTGGACATTTTGTTGTTTTATTCTTCCGCTTGAACAAATTTGTTTCTGAGAAGTGGAAAAAAAAGTCCAGTTCAAATGAAATGAGCTTAATTGTTTTTGTATTGAAACTGCACAATGTGAATATCGACGCATCTTTATTTGATTTGATTTAAAATTCATTTATCAGTGAAGTCTGAGCTGATTTGAGGATTTTTTTATTTTATTTTTGCATTTTTTTATTAATGAGTAAAATTCACGTGGACTGTTTAAATGATCCAGTGCTATAAAATGATGATGTTTCAGAGTTTTGAACAAAAAGGAATTTGATTTAATTTTTTATGTTAATCCAAGAAACAAACAGTTTTGGTTTTAAAATCTCATGTAAAAACGTTTAAATTAATCTTTTAATCAACAGAACATTTGAACATTTTCCATCAGTTTAATGTTGGTTTTTATTAAACTTGCCATGACTGGTTTTTACTGGGAATGCACCAATACCGGTAACGAGTACTTGTACAAATACTGTGTGTACTGGTACTCGGAATGTTCTGACGCATGAAAAGACAGATCAGATTTGTCAGCGCTCACCAACAGGCTCGTCATGAAGACCCGCGGGCCTCGCTCCGTTTCAGGAGTAAAAACTTACACTTTTTTATTTAAACACGTTTTCAAAGTAATTGTTAAAAGTCTAAATTTGTTTATTAGTAATTGTATCAGTACTTGGTCTCAGCAAATATAAGTATTTGTACTTATTTTGAAACGTAAACTGTAGCATCAGGTCATTTTGTGCTTTTTGATTTTGTTTGTTTTAACCAGTGTTGGTTTTTAAAAGTGCAAAACAAAAACTCGACATTAGTCAAATGTGGACGAAGCAGCTCGTCGTCAGAAGAACCAGCTTTTGTGCTTTTCTTCACAAAAATAAAGCGACGTTTTGTCCCATCAGCAGCTCAAACTGAACTCTTCATCACGTAAATAAATCAACAGCTGGAATTAAAACGGATCCGTAGAGACGTGACGGAACGATCCGGACCGTTTGAACGGATCTTTAAAAGAACGAGAAGAACCGAGCCGCCCCCGGTTCGATGTTTCCTCCTCAGTCCCAAACGTTTGCTCCTCCTTCGCTTTTTCACCGAGACGAAGGAACAAGCAGGCGAAGGGGAGGAGTGCAGCAGCTCGGGGGGGTCCACGTGACAAAACATCTGCTGCAGCCACGACGTCCTCACGTACCTTCAAACTGAACGGCTCCACGAAGGAACGCATCGACCCGGTCCGTTCCTTCGTGGAGCCGTTTGAGCAGATGTGTCTGTTTGGATGTAAAACCTGAAGTCGTGCTTCTGTGTTCGTGCGCTGAACTCAAAACAGTTCACGTGTTGTTTGGTCGTAGAAGCTTCTGGTTTGGTTTTTTATTATTTTAACTGTTTTTTCTTTCAGTTTGAGCCAAACGAGTCCAACAAGAACCAACTCTGTGACAAACTGTTCAAATTAGGATTATATCCGTCCACACAGATCCATCATATCACATGTCGGGAATCCAAACAAATAAAAATGAACTCTTTCAATGTTCCTTCACGTCTCTCTGTGACTCCAAGGCTTACAGGAGATGCACTTCTGGAATATTAAAGATCTCATCGTTCAATATTTTTCATTTTTTCTTCAAACTTTGGACAATAAAGGAAGAAAATGTCAGTAAAACAAAAAGTTTTGTCCAAACAGAAACAGATAAAAACTTTCTGGTCTGTCTTGACGTGACAACGGGCTTACTGTAAATTAAAAATAGAAGCCTCATTAGTGCACTTCATGAAACAGATGCTGCTGAATGAACTCCAGATGTTTTGCAGCTCAAACCCAACAGAGATCCTTCAGGAAACTTTCAGGAAGTAAAACTTGTTTTTCTCAGTTTCTCTTTACGTCCAACAGAAACAAAGTGCAGGGAGAGTTTCCCTCCATCTCATAGTACTTGTACACACAGTACGTACTTGGTTCCCAACTCGCAGCTCATAAAACCTTTGTCCAGATTAAACCTCAAGGTTCTGAGGACTGGAAGAACCTCTTCCATGTGTGACAGCAGATGTTCAGAGGAGCGTTGAGGAAGTCAAACATCTCCAGCAGAGGGACGGTCCTCTGCTAAATTCCCTACAAACCCAACCGTTACTGTTCCAGTCGGTTCTGTGGCACCAACAGGCCTCGCAGGGTCAACAAGCCTTCAAGGTGCTTTCTGCTTCCTCCAGCGCTGCAGACCAGAACCGTCAGGTGACGATCAACCGTTGTGCTGTCAGTTCATCTGCCGGGTCGCCAAAAGCAACCGAAGAGGCTCCGACGGCTACATGAACGGGTTGTTTGGGTCTGAAAGCACCGTCAGTCGTCCTGTGGCTCAGCGGGCCGGCAGGTCACAGAGAAGTCTCTCTGGAGAAGCTGAGCGACGGCTCCAGCTTCACTCCTTGGGTCTTGTTTGGAGGAGGTCCGTCCTCGGGACGGTCCACAGGAAGCTGAGACGGATTGAAAATAAAACAGACGTCAGGATGATCAAGAACCTGGACTGAAGGATTGAATGGAACTGTAGACCAGCAGTACACGATGTCCCCGTCACTGAGGGACTTGAACAGCGGACGTTTGTAGTTTTAGAGATGAGTGTTTTTCTGGACTGGAACTGAATGAACTTTAATGTTTTTACTGAAAGATGTTCAGGCGGTGAGGAGTTAAACTGGAGAACAGGTTTTTATTTTACCTGATCGAGGCAGCGCAGAACAACGGATCCTGCGGAGGGAGTCGTTTTATCCACAACCAGGTTCACTGGTGGAGCCAGGGGGTGGCCAACGGTGGCCTTGGCCCCCATAGATTAATCTTTGACCACCCCACTGGTCACCCCAATTATTTGAGGAAACTAAACTTTTAAGCAATATGAAACTTAGAAAACAGTTTCCTCAAATGACGGGGGTGTCCGGTTAACGTCAGTGTTTCCACTGGGTTACTTGTCCTGACAGAGCGCTCGTCTCTTGTGATTTTTGTCAGCGAGGGGGTGGGGACACGGAGACATGTCTGTGTTCGGTGGTTTGTGCCGGCAGTTGTCAACGGGGGTGAAGGGAACGGCTCAGCGTGAGAGAAACGGAGCGCTGCCTCTGCAGCTTTTTACCATGTCTGTATTGTGCACCGTTAGCTTAGTGCTACGTCACTAGTTGTCAATGGGGGGCGGGGGGGGGGGGGGGGGGGGGGGGCGGAGAATCCGATCGGTGTGTTGTCATCTCGTTGTTTCTGTGGCGCTGGTTTTCGG